ACCAAATTCACATCTTCATACATGTATTTTGTATAATGATGACCCTCTCCTTCCACCATCCTAGCTATTCCCCTTCTCCCTCCCTTTCCCTCCCCTCCATTCCCTATCTAGAGGTAAGTTTCCTTCCATGCTCTCCCTCCCTACCCCACTTTGAGTCACCCCCCCTTATATCAGAGAAAATATTTGGCATTTGTTTTGGGGAGGATTGGCTGACTTCACTTAGCATAATCTGCTCTAATGCCATCCATTTCCCTGCAAATGCCACAATCTAGAGATTTATGAGACCCTTCACTTTGTTATCTGAAGTGGGAACAACTGGTCTACCATACAGATTGTGATCTTACAGAGATGAGATAAAAGGTTACCTGCGAAACAGCTGCAGATGAGCTTGGCATGTGGAAGGCTGTCCTCCACCTGAGGTGCCCCACTCTGTGCTAAGCACTGTGTGAATCACTCAGTTAAGACCAATGTAATAAGGGAGAAAAAGTTAACAATGGCAGTATACACAGCTAGCAAAGTGGCAGAGTCCGGTGGAGAATCCAAATCTATCAATTCCAGAAGCTGAACTCCAAACCATCATGCAGGTTACTGCCTCTCAGAAATTCCAAGCTCCTGGTCTCCCACGCTACAATGAAGAACTATTTTTTCAATCACCAATGACTGAATGCTACCAAGGAATGCTCCTGTGATATGGGTCTGTATAACCTGGTCAAGAATGTCCCTGACCCAGCCAGGCAGCTCCCAGCAGAACTAGCTCCACTTATCTGGGTACTAGGATTTTTGCAGCTGGAGCCCTCAGGTCCTGGGCACCCACCTACTTTCCAGTAGGTGATAGCTATGATTTGGCAAAATCTGCTAGAGTATGGGGAAGCAATTGCTCTCTCTCTAGAAAATTACTGAATCAAAGCCATGGAACATCCCATTCACCAGATTCCAGCTGGGTGGGCATAAGGAAGGAAGCCCACAGGGAGGGAAACACCTACTGTTAAATAGGCAAACAGAGTGGTGAAAAAATTACCCGAGACTCTCAAATAGGAGTGGGCACTGCTCTCCTAACCTGTCCTTGCAGAAACTGAATGAAACTGGCCAACAGACATTTCCAATACATGTCTATATGGTTATGTACTTGGGCTCTGAGCAATGGGGACTCTATCTAAATGTCATTTTCACTAGATATTTTGAAAATGGGAGGAAATTCATCTTGGTTTCAACATTATCAAAGAGCAAGTCCTCCAAAGACTTGAGTAGGCATTTCTTCAAAGACAATAAAAGAATAGTCAGTTAGCATAGGGTAAATATACATTACTAACCATCAGGCAAAACAAACCAAAACTACACTGAGATGCTTCTCCACAACCATTAGGATGGCCACTAACCCCAAATCAGAAAACAGGTGTTGGTGAGAATGTAGAGAAATTGAAACTCTTGTGTATTGTTGCAAGAATAAAAAATGATACAGTGCTATGGAATAGAGTATGGCAGTTTTTCAAAAAAACTAAAATTAGAATTACTGTATGATTCAGCTAACTGACATCTGGGAATCCACCCACAAGAAATGAAAATGAGGTCTTGAAGAAACACTGGTATACTCATGTTCAAAGTAGCATGATTAATAATAGCTAAAACATGGGAGCAAGCCAGGTGCTCATCAATGAATGAATGGATAAGCAAAATGTAATATATATATATAAAACAGATATTAATCATCCTTAAAAAGGAAGGAACCTCTGGCACATGCTACAACATTGATAAACCCTGAGGACATTATGGTGAATGAAACAATTCAGCCCCCAAATGCTATACAATTCCATTCATATGAGATACTTAGAGTAGTCAAAATTGTAGAGGTAAAAAGTGAGATGGAGGTTGTGCAGGAGCTGGGGAAGAGAGAAAGCAGGAAATCATGGTTTAAAGGATGCAGAGTTTCAGTTTTAGAAGATGAAAAGATGTTTAACAAGCCACCCCACCCCACTGCAGGAGATTCTACTACGTGCTCACCAAACTTTGAAACTTCTGCTAACTGACAGTCAGTTCCCAAAGTATTTGCCATGAAAACCTGAGGTCCCAAAGAGAGACCTTAGACCAATGATTCCCATACTTGGCTGGACTGGAATCCTATAAATGTCTAAGGATGACCCGCAGATTTTGAGATTGTGTTATGGAAGTCAGGATTTCTGAAAAAGGGTCCAAAGATTCTAACATCAGCCAAGGCGAAAAACTACTGTTATGTTTGGGTCAGGATCCCAGGTTTCTACAGAAATGCCTCTGAGGCTTCTATTAGAGCAGCACAGCTTTTATTTGTGCTATAAACTCCACCTAAGACTGAATTTGCAGAAAGGATTCTCACACTTAAAGAAACAGAAAGTTTGCAAACAACTGCTGCAGTCTGCCAGTAAGAGCCTTGAGATCCCATAACCTGATTTATATTTACCTTTGTGTCTGTCCTAGGGCCTTACGACATAGTGGATGCTTAATAAATATTTGTTGGAAGGTCAAATAGTTGTATTTGCTATCTGGCTCCAATTAAGTTTTCAGTTGCCTGGCATAGCAACCTAAGCATTTCTTAAACATCTAAACCCCAAAAGCCTGTGCCTCAAACCTCAAACCTGAAACAGAGAGTGGAGCAGACAGCCATCCAAAGAACATGCCCGCGTTTCTCCTTGGGGTCAAATACACTGTACAAGTGCCTAATGACTGATAAACATAAGCAAATGTGATTCTCATCAGCCGGGAAGAGCATGACATTCATCGGCAGCTCAGGCCTCCCTGGTTAATATTTGGACTGTTCCATCTGAAACTGTTAAATTATAAGAGCATGATAAAAACGTGTAGGAACCTCATAGTAAACAGTAACTGGCCCTTTGTCAATAAGTGAGAAGAAAAAAAAAGCCTGCTGCCAAAACACATGGGCCAGAATGCCTGCAGCACAGGCCTGTGGCCAACTAGAGCCTGCTCCCGGGCAGCTCTCCTAGGTTCTCAACCACAGAGGCTTTCAAAGAAGCCTCTCTCCCACCCAGGCGCCATGGACCCCAGGCCTCCACCCTCACAGCCGCCGCGGCAGGAAGCTGAGTGCTGTGGGGACCTGGGAGTCAGCCACGCCACCTTCAAATCTCAGTTCTTCCACTGGCTTTAGGATTCTGGGTAGTGATTCCACCTCCCAGGTCCCCAGATCCATCATGCTTCACATCTTCATCGGGTCCTTAAAACAAATGAGTACCTGGGTTTGAATCCTGACTCGTCACCTACTAGTGGTGTGGTCTGGGGCAAATTACTCTACTTCTTTGGGCCTCTGTTTCCTTACCTAAAAAGAGAATGATAGTAGTCTCTGTCTCATAGAGTTGTCAGTGTAAAGTTATAAGAACAGTGCCTGGTGAGGTATAGACATTCAATAAACCTTAGTGATCATTACTCTGCAATTTTGAAATCAGGGGATTTGAAAACCAAGTTTGTGTCTCTTTCTTTTTTCATATTTTTAAAATTTATTTATTAACTTAGTCAGTTTGGTGACAAAACTCATTGGGCAGCAAGCCTGACCTTCCCTGACCATAAATAAAGGCAGTTATTTATGGGCTCTTTGTTATCCTACTTAGGTAAACATTCAGCTTCACTGCTGAAATAAAACTGTTTGATTATGGGATGCTGTCCAATACCAGAGGGAATGCCATTCATATGTGACTTATCTCTCTCAAATTTGGCTGGCTCTGAATTTTAAAATACATTGGCCATAAGCATTTCAGATAAGGGACTGAGGAGCTATGTTTTGAGAGTGTGGTTGGGATAAAGGGAGGAGCAGCCAACAAAATTTCAGAGCGCAAAGTTGAAGAACATTCCAGTTTCTATGCAGAAAGAGAGGAGGTATCTTCTCTGGGCTGGTCTTTCTTCTTGCTCTCCCATGCCAGGCCACACTGTTCTTGACTCCTATCTACCTGAACTTGGTTCCTCCTTCAGAATATATCACCTTTCTCTATGAAATGGTCCTGTCTCCAAACTACCAGGTCAAGTGCATGGCAGGATGGATGGAGGGTGGATGGACTGCATCTCCTTTTTAACTGCAGGTAGCCAGTAGCATATCAGCCTTAGGCACTGGGCAGCTCTCATGCAGCATCTGGCTATTGTGAGAAAAAGTAGCCAACCATGCTGATACTCAACTGTCAGAGTAGCAAGACAACTGGCTTGATACCTGCCCAATCCCAGACAGAAGGGCATTAATGTGGCTAGATAACCAAGGCACACATTTCTTAATCATAGAGAGATAGCTTAAGCTTTTTGTTCTTGTTGTCCATGTTTACTTGTTTTTGTTTTTGTTGTTGCTACTGTTTCTGTGTTTTCTCATAATCGATCAGGGACCTAGGGACTAGCATACCCCAAATATACTATTGAGTGAATGAAAATAATCTGTAAATATATTTTGATTCATTCACTGATAAGCTCCTTTCAGTCCCTATAATTGCCAAGGGCACTGCCTAGTTTGGCATATTTATGCTTTTTAAAGTTGTACAGCTATTTTGATGCCACTATGCCATTACTAAAGTTTATATTTTATTGACTTAAAAATATTTAGGTTCCTAATTGGACACATCCTTAAAATACTATGTTCACTCAATATTTTGGAGAAACTTTCTAATGAAATTCATAGAATCCTGAAACCCACTCCAAACATTCAACTTGTCCAGGGATTGGCTCTTGGTTTAGATGCTTCTGTGCTTGTGTCAGCTCAAAGCCACACAGCCTGGGATCAGGGATCTCTTCTCCTCTCTGCACTAGGGCAGCACTGGAACCCAGGTCTCTCTAAGCCCAGCCCTGCTACCTCCCTTTACCCTTCCATGGGGCCTCCCAGCAGGAGAGGCCTCAGCACTTGAAAAGCTTGCAAAATAAATCAAAAGATATGTAGAGCCAAGAATTCCTCCCCATTGGGCAGAAACAATTGCCTTAGTTGTGCTTTCTGGGGTGCAGAGCACAAGGACAGGGACAGGAAAGTGCAGGTCCTGGTGGACACATACCTTCTTTCAGTGGTGGGTTGGCGGCCCCTGGCCTGCGGGTGCCGGCTGCCACGTAGCACCGGCAGCACCGCCGATACCTGGCGGCCAGCATCGGGCGCAACCGGGGCGCGCAACTCCTCTCGGCTCCGGTGCAGCGGTACAGACGTGCGCACTGCGGACACGACGTGGCCTGTGTAGGTGCGCGCTGGCGCACCAGGTCGTGGGCCGCCTCGCGTGCGGTATGAGCTGGGCAGGCAGGGCCGAGTCTGCTCCATCACGCCACCGCTGCAGCTGCGTGAGCAAGCGGACCAGGGACCCCAGGCGCCCCAAACACCCGGGGCGCCGCCGCTGTCCTCCGGGACGCCCTCGGCTGTCGCCACCCGCTGAGGGACCTGCAAAGACACAGTCCCATTAGGAGACCAGAATCGACAAGGCTTTCAACAGGGCTGGTTCATCTACTAGGTAGAGGTACGCACAGATTCTGTTTTTAAAATCAGAACAAGATGAATATAATCCAGCCTCGATCATAGTCATTTTTTGTGAATTTAGTCCTACACAATAGGATTATCATCATCATCATCATCATCATCATCATCATCATCATCATCATCATTTTAATGAAGGAAAGGACCTACAAAGGCAAAGGAGCCTAGGACCCTCAAAGCATACTGCAGTTCTGGCTTTGGGTGCCATGGCCTTGGAGAGCTCCACGTGGTGCCCTGGCCTCTTAACTGTGGGCTGCCCTCAGGAGTCCTCTTATGGTCTAGGCTGGACTTCCCTTTAGCTGGGTAGGTGTGCCTTGTTTCTCCCTGCAGTAAAGGTAATGGATACAGCAGAGCAGAGGCCATGTTGTACAGCCAGGCTACCTGTGGTCACATCTCTGCAGCCACTTTCTAGCAGTGTGACTGGGAAGGTTCTCAGCCTCTCTGAAGTCACCACATTGGAAGGGAGGATGGTACTGGTTCCTTCCTCATAGGTTGTAAGGAGATTCAGGTTAGGTCATCGTGTTTCAGGTCACAGCAGAGCTCAACACTACATAAATGTTTGTTGGTAAACATAATGATAATTTTCTGCCTCATACAAATCAGAAGAGATTTTTAAAAATGTCAGAAAGTTTACAAGTTCTATCCAAAGTGTGATTCTACACTCTTATTCATTTAACTGTTCATTTTGCAGAGACCTACAGTGCCAGGTGCCATGGCTCCTTGGCTATGCGGATGTGCTGCAGCACCAAAGGAAAGCTCACCAGGCTCACTCCGGTAGCCTGGGCCTAGCAGGAGCAGAGCTCTATGCAGCCAGGGCTCAAGGGTAGGAGTAGGCTCCTGGGAGGGCCTGGCTTTCCTGGATAGATGTGGGCAGCAGGGGAATGAGAAGGCCTCAGAGAGGAGCCAGGAGCGATAGTCACAGCTCTGACTACTCAGGCATCTACTTGATGCCAGATTACACATGTAATCTGAATCCTCACAACAGCCCTCACCACCTTGCAGAAAGGAAACAGGTTCAGTGACATCATGTGACACTCCAGACACCTAGCTGCAGTAGCTTCTGGACTCAGATGTACCCTGCTCTCAGTGACTGCACTTTCCAGTAAGTACTTCTTGTTCTCTCCCCAACAGACAGCTGCTACTGCCCTTCTAGAGCTTTCTCCTGCAATGTCCTCCCTGCCCTTGGAACACTGAGCAACTTCCTTACAATGTGGGGTTTCTGTGAACACCATGGGCTTATTTATATCTGCAGTGCAAAAGTGCCCCCAGATTACCTTGGCTTCTTCTTCTTTTTTTTTTTTTTAAACAATCTTGGTTTTTTGACAGTAGTGTTTGACCCAAGAGCTCACAGACTTGCACAGCTGTGCTCTTCCTCTGTCCCCACAGTGGACCCCTGAGTAGCAAGACAGCCCAGGGATCATCTTTCTCTTTGTGCAGAACAAACCTGAGAAGGCTAAACTCCTTGACACCCAGGCAGACTGAGTGATGGTGCTAGGCCTATGGCTCTGACCACCTGACCAGGAACTGGCCCTGATGTCTCTTACGTAAGTGCCAGGAGGTGTTCACCACTGCCATGGCTGTTACTGTGGTCACTAGAAGCCAGGGCTCAGCTCTGGCTGTGAAGCCATAACGTTTGTATAATTGACATCACCTTTGTTCCAGTGCACAGAGTGGACTCTGGATAACCTTTGTAGCTGAAGTTGGGTTCCTGATGGTTCAGGGAATAAGTAGGGCAGGAGGGGTGAGGAGACCAGGGAGCCCAAGGGGCAAACCAGAAGCCAACCAGAGGAGCAGCGGCCTCAGCCTGGCCACACTGAAGACAGTCATGGTCTACAGCCAGCATCTTTCAGCCAGTCCATGGGAGCTACTTTCAGAGAGCCAAGGCGAGGTTAAAGAGGACCTGGGCTGGGCCAGCTGGAGATGGGGTCAGAGCAAGAACAAGATGGATGTGAGAGTCCTGGATGATAGCTGGAGGCAGTGATTGCAGGGCAGGGTTACAGGTGTCAGCCAGGGTGCACACTCAGCCTCTGCCTGCTGAACTGGGTGTCCATGAGAGAAGGCTTTCTGGCTGCTTATAAGCACAGTGAAAAACAAACTAAAATAGGCATGTGCTCTTTCTTCTCCTCCCTACCACAACCTGATTTATCATATTAAACTGAGAGTAGATTTACTGAAGTGGCTAGGAAAAAATGTTCCTCAATGGGCAGGTCTGGATCTATAAAGTCACACCTAAAGTGTATTTAGTGGGTTGATTTTTCCAAAGCTCGTTCTGCATGCTAAACCCAGACCCATATTTGGCAAAAAGGGTCATTACAAGTGTACTCAGTTAAAGATCTCAAGATGAGATCATCATAGATGATCTGGGGGTGGGGGGCAAATACAAGTGATGTATCCTTATGAGGCACAGAAGACTAGACAGACTTGGAGGGGCAGACAGTGTAACTGCTGAAATGTAGATGGGAGTGACAGCCAGGAGCCTGGAGCCACCAGATGCTGGAGAGGCATGGAAGGAGTGCTCCTCCCAGGAGTTTTGGAAAGAACTCAAGTTCTGGTGACGTCTTGATTTTGAATGTCTGGCCTCCAAAATTGTGAGGGAATATGTTTCTGGTAGTTTGTTAAAATAATACAGTTAAAATAATAGTGTTGGACATTTGGGTCAAAGAAGAAAAGGGTACCAGCATTGGTCAGGCACCTCCTCCATGTGGGGGACAGGTTGCAGGCACGTGTGGATGGCCAGACTCCATGGTAGAGGCAGGATAAGGACAAAGTCACACTTCCCAGAGCCCCTCAATGCCCTACTCAGCCACTGTGGGAAGTTGATCTTGTTCTGCTCCTTTTACAGAGCAGAAACAGAGGGGCTGAGAGACTGCGTGACTTGTCGCAGGGTAGTGAGAAACACAAACAGGACTAAGATCGAGGTCTCCTTGCTCCTGTTCTTGAGCTTTGGTGTTTTGTCTCCCCCTCCTACAGCATGCTGTGCCCCTGCCTGTGTTGCTGTTCGACAACAGAAGGGAAAAATGATTGGGACTAAATCCACTCCTAGAGTTGTTCTAGTGGAAGGATAATTGGGATAAATGAACAAAGGCAGAAATATGTTTCGGGCATATTTGGGGATTTCAATATCCACCACCCCCTGATCCCTCGGTAACGCAGATAACGAAGACAATGTCTGTAATAGTTGGATTAGGCATGCAGCTATACTAAAACTCCACTTCCTAGAACTAATCCCACCCTTAATTTAGTTTCCTATTGCCAAATTGGGCAGGGTCCCTGGGGGAAAAAAAAACACGAAACCACATTCCATCCTATTCTATTCATAAAAATTCTCTCATTTATAGTTGAATTATGGTGAGTGACTAGAAATTCCATCTGAGTCCCCATGGTGGGACTCCAGCCACATGCTCCAGGGCTGTGTTTTTATAGTACACAGACGAAACAAAGGAGGAAAGTGACAGGAAAACAGAAAGAAGGAAGGAGAGAAAACAGAGAAAGAGAGGAAGGAAGAAAAACCAAATCAAAGAAAAACTACAGGGAGGAGGGCTGGGAGTTAGCCTTCTGGTCTCCTTGATCCCCCACCCTGCCTCCCCTCCTTCCCAGCCTCCCTTCTTTTTGCTACAGTCAATAAGTTTTCTGTGAGGTCAGAAGTAAGGTGGGGAAACTTTTGAGTATTTTGATTGAGATGAATAATGTTCCTAAAATTAGGACTAAGAGGATCTCTGTTAGTTGGTGACAAACACAAAACCAAAGAATACAATCACAACGAGACAAAACAAATAACTGACACTGAAAGCTTTGACACCTGTGGCATGCCGCCCTTCCCCCATGTGGCACATAGGGACTGGGGCAGAAAACCTAAGGCGCTTCTAAATTGCACCCTAAACTGTGGGATTCCTTCCTTTATAAAGAGTGCTAACAAATTAGTAAGAAAAGGACAACCCAGTGGAGATGGGAAGAAGGGTGTGAACGGGTGATCTATAGGTATTGTGAAGTGAACATGTGTGTGTTCCCCAAATTCATATGGTGAAGCCCTGACCCTCAGGGTGTGGAATTAAGGCCTTTGAAATTTAGATGAGTTCATGAGGGTGTCCCCCATGATGGGATTGGGGTCCTTATAAGGAAAGGAAAGAAGACCACTGCTGCTCCCTCTGGCTGGCCCTCTCTCTACCTGCCTCTGCCTCCGTCTCTCTCTCCCTTACTGTCATGAAAGGGTGCAGGGAGAAGGCATCCCTGTGCCAGTCAGGAAGAGGGCCTCCACTGGGAAGCCAAATCAGCCAGCACCTTGACCTTGGACTTTCCAGCCTCTGGAGCTATAAGAACTAAATTCCTGTTGTTTAAGCCACCCAGTCTGAGGTGTATTATTTTGGCAGCCCAGCCAACTAATACAACAGGAAAATAAATAATATATGAAAATGGGTTAACAGTACCTAGAATAAAACAGACACAAAACAAAACACCAAATTTTTATATTATGCCAAATTTTTATATTATGGCAAAGATTATATAGTTTGACCACATTGATATGGCAACAATGTTCTCTGCTGATGAAAATCTAAACAGGAGCAACTTCTTGGGAGAAAACTTTGCAATCCCTATTAAAATTTGAGACATATGTACTTTTTTAGCTCAGTAGTTGTACTTTCAGTAGCTTATCCTACTGGTACACCCCAAGCCAAGGCATAAAAAGTTACACATGTAAAGATTTATATTGCATCATTATTTGTTTTTGTTTCTCCCCAGGTGCTCTACCACTGAGCTACACTCCCAGCCCCTTTTATTTTTTATTTTGAAACAGGGTCTTGCTAAATTGCTCAGGCTGGCCTTGAACTTGGGATCCACCTGCCTCAGCCTTCTGAGTCACTGACTACAGGTGCGTGCCACCATGCCCAGCTGCATCACTATTTATAAAA